CGATTGTGGGCTAAAATAAAGTTATATTGTTGAATATGTTAAACAATTTAAAAAATTTCCAACTACTATATGAAAGTCAACGCTACATTAAATAATTCACAAAAAATTTCTAACTACTATAAGAGGTTTTAATTTTATATAAGGGCAAAATATGGGGAAAGTATTAAATGCTATATAGATGTTATTAAATTAGACTCATATTTTGGATCAAGTGAATAGAAAAGAAAAAGACTTATATATTTGCAAGTTGCAACCATTAATTAAGTCAAAATTTTCCCTTTCTAAAAAGAAAAGATTAGCTTATAAATTTTAAAAAAAAGAAAAGAAAAAAAAGAAAACTCAATCGTAAACAATCTTGGGGACCAACGGTATTCGAAACTAACGCGAGACTGTTTTAAATTTCATTTTAAGTTTCATTTTTAACACGAAAATGATTTTCTAATCATACATGCAATTATTCTAATACTCCATAAGTTCATTGTTATAAGTAACAACTATCAAAATTAAGCAGCTTAAAATAGTAGTTAAATTTAGTTAAAAGTAATAAATGTATAAGATATATAATACTTTTTCAATTATACCTTTTTTGTAAGGAGGGTACATGGGAGATTATGTGTGAAATTTATTGTGGAGAGATAATAAGTAGCATATATTTAATGGAGGTAAAAGTGAAAATACTAGACATTTTAGACAAAGGAAATTTGTTTCTTGTATATAGGGACAAACACAATAAAAGAAATTGTTTCCTATAAAAGAAACAGAGGGAATAATAATTTAAAGTTAAAGTACAAATTTATCCTGAAAGTTAAAGTATATGAGAGATTAATGTCATTATTTTAACTATTAACATTAGTTGTTTAATGTATAGATAACATTAATACGATTTTAAAATTTTAGGGTAAATTTGTACTAAAAAATTTCCAAGTGCCCATCGCTTATGAGTGTAGAAACATTGCTTTTAAAATCTCCCAGTTGTGTAATTCTAACGTACAAAAGCCCTGAAATAGAAAACAACGTTGAGCCTTCTCTCGATTTCGAGTTCGGATTATGCCTCGTTCCATTAAAAGAAAGCTCTGTAAACCAAGGAAACTCGTATACTGCCTTCTCTTTTCTGGTCGTTACAGTGAGGAAGTTCATTTGAAATAGAAATCCGAAAGGCATGTTTTCAATCTCCATTTGCTCATTTTTCTCTGTCATAAATAGCCTAAACAAAGGGACATCAAATTGCTTGTTACTGTCAGATTGATGGTAAGGGGAAATTGAAGAGCTCAAAGACAAGAGACATATAGAGCAGAAGCTATGAAGTGTGAGTCACGTACGTTTCTTTTTCTTCTTTTGTGCTTTTTGCGTGCAAAATCAATTCCTTACTGGGTTGCTTGGTCATATCCAATAGTTTCTCAGAAAATATAGTTCGAATTTTATATCCTCATTTTCTGGGTCATTGTCCATCTCAGTTTGTTTCTTCGGCTTTGGGTTTTTTAGTCTTAAAGGATTAAGCCTCTGTGCTGAAATCTGCGATGGTTCATTAATTTTATGACATTATAATTTCAGGCACAAAGGCTAAAAGTGGGAGCAAGTCCATTTAGGGAATGTGGATCCATCTCGAAAATGATAGCTTATAGGAGTAGGTGAGAATTATCCATCTTGCAAATAGAGTTTGATTTTCGTTCAAAAGAAAATATGTTTATCATGTGAAATATTTGATATCAAGACCTGTAAGGAACATCAAATTGCTTGTTACCATCAGAATGATAGAATAAGGAACTAAAAGAGAGAGCAGAGAGGCAGAGGGAGGTTGAAAAGTGCAAAGAGAGGAAGGAATCCAGACATAGAGAAGAATCTCCGAACAAGTCACGTACGTTTCTCTTTCTTCTTCTGTGCTTCTCTTGCCAGCTCTTATCCCAATAGGTTCTCAAAATATATTTTCATTTTATGGGTTATTGTCTGTCTCGGTTTAATTTTGTCTTAGAGGATTAACTTCTTAGTTTCATTTCTATTGTTGGCTTGTAACGATGTCAATATGATTGTTTTCTTAGAGCTTGAGGATGTAATTGGGAACTGGTTCTGTGAATTGTCTTTTAGAGCTTGAGGATGCTTGAGAGAGCTTGCCATGCTTTCTTTGCTATGTGGAAAAAGGCTGAGAGCTTTTGCTGCTATTTATCTAGAGCTTTTTGTGTGCGGAAGAAGTCTGTGATACTATTTCATGGCACAAGGCATATATAATAAAGTGGCACTATACATCTCGCAAACAGATTTTTCCCCTCATATACTATATTATTGCCGTTTCTTTCATGAATTTGATTTTTCATTGAAAAGAAAATATGCTTAGTATATAAAAACTTTATGTGTCTTTTTCTATTGAGAAAAGACACCCGTGTTTTATGTTGGAGGGAAACTAGTTCTATACATTGTTTTCTATTATGTTCGTAATTTTTATCGATTTTGTTGATGGGGTGTGTAGTAAGAGAGATTTTTAGGTGTCCTTTAGAGGGAAAAGGAAAATAGGATTGAAACATCAACTGATATATAAACCAACTGGTTGGAGATTTTGTAATAAACCAACTACCATGTTGTTGTCCTTTTTCCTTTTATTGCATAAGCAACATGCGAAATAGATACGCATAATATGAGAGGGACCTCATGTTACCCAACCTGTTGTGGTTAAAAAGTATGGTTTTTTGTATCTTATATGAAAAATCTTGCTTGTGTAGTAGATACAATTGAGCTTGAGAGGATTGTTGCCCATCCAAACCTAGCCAACCCATTTTGACGTAAATTAGGGGTGTTCATAGGACAGGATGGGACCAGGATAGGCCCGTCCTGGTCCTGTCCAGGTGAACAAGGACGGGACAGGACTTTTGTCCCGTATCCATCCCGTCCCTCTTTTTTTTTTGCCCCTTTGTTTTGGGCCTTCTATTTTTTATTGAGCTTGTCATTAATTAAAATTTCTTTTTTTTTCCTTCTTTTTTTTGGCCTAACAGAAGTGAATCAAAAACTATGATTATTTTAAAATTTGGGCCTTTGATTTAATCGACAATACTTTTAATTTGTAACAAATTAGCCCACTTTTCTGCATAACAAGCCTCTGGAAAAACTAAAAAGCGTAAGCAGTCCATCTATAAAAATTCTGTGCGATGATATTTCTTCATTTAACATAAATTTCCTAATATGGTCCATTCTTTCTTTTTTTTTGAAACATGTTCAATGACAGTTCCTGGAAGCTACCACTAGGGGTGTGCATGAGGCCCGCATGCCCAATAAGCCTGCCCGAGCCCGCAAGAAAAATGCCCAGCCCAATCCAGTAAAAAGCTGCCCAAGCAAAAATGGGCATCTTCGGGCCGGGCTGATTCACGGGCAGGGCAGGGCCGCGGGCAGGGTATGCTGCCCTGCCCATTTGGCCCTGCCCGAAAAAATATATAATTATATATATAAGATAATATTATTTCAAGCAATTATCTCTTTTATTTTAGCTAAAAAAAATAGGTAAAATTAGAAAAAATGAAAGGAACATAAAAATTATAATTATATAAAAGAGCTAAATATCAAAATATAAGATTCAATATGCTAAATTACTCCAAGTCAAATGTTCTTCTTTTTCTCTTACATCCAATTTTTTAAAACAAAAAAAAAAAATAAAACCACCTTTCAAATTTTGTGCTTTCACATGATTATAAGAATCCACCAACTATATGGATAAACTAAGAAATTGAAATACTGATTTAGCTTAATTATTAAATATTCTAATTATTAAATATATTTTTTTTACCTCCCATAAGAAATCAAAAGCTAAAGAATAAGACTACATAGGCCTTATATATATATATATGAGTGATAGACTCATTCGTGATAATTTTTTTCCTCTCATTTGTCTCAAAACATGATAATTGATTTTTTTTTTTTTACATATGACATAGGGCATTGTGTCATTACGCTGGGCAGAAAAGCCCGCCCTGCCCAGCCCGCCCTTGCCCTGCCCAAAATGATTAGGGCTTCTACTGGGCAGGGCCGGGCAACGGGCTGCGTTCATCTTTCGGGCTGGGCATCGGGCAAGGGGCTTGCCCTGCCCAGCCCTGCCCATGTGCAGCCCTAGCTACCACCCTACGCCAATTTTAGCTAAAGCACAAGCGTACTAGCGAAGCCGTAAGAAGGATTAAGCTTCTCATGACGGCATGGGGAGACATACAAGCGAACGTGTGAGGCGGGGAGATTAACTCAGGAGTCCACTAAATTTGTGAACGACGACGATTGAGCACTGCTGGGAGTCAAGATTTGGACCTGCTACAGCTCGCTGCAGGGAGAAGTCATGAGGTAACGAGTTGGTGAGAATGAGCTCAGTCTCAGTGATCGACAGTCTAGAGAATTGTGAGAGGCAGGGAGAATCTGGAATGGCTGAATGATGTTAGAAAAATAAATTTAGGGCATATCTGTCATATTGTAAAATTTTTTTTAAAATTATATATCCCAGGACAGGACAACCTCGTCTTGCATCTGTCCTGCTCAGTCTTTTGTCCAGTCTCGGAAATTTTTTTGTCCCATCCGATTGGGACGAGACAGTTTGAACACCCCTAGCATAAATACTCAATCTTAAACTTGTCCTTGCTTGTTCAAATATGGGTAACTCATATATATAAGCCTACCCATCAACACAATAGGTCCCATTTAAAAATATGGTTTTCTATAAGTTCTTATACAAGAAATCACGCTTGTGTAGGTAGAAATAGGTACAACTTAGCTTGAGAGATTGTTGCCCACCCAAACCTAGCCAACCCCATTTTAAACTAAAACGCTTAGGGAGTGTTTGGCAATTGCTCCAAAAGTGTTTCAGGGCCCCAAACCATAGTTTGAGGAGGCTGATTGCCAAACACCCACTTTTTTTAAAAACCATAGTTTACGGCAAAACCTTGGTTTTGGCCAAAGCAAACCATGGTTTGAGAATAAGCATAGGGGGTCGCTTCTGAAGAATGAAAAATGGTCATGGGAGTAATAATTACTCCTGTCAAATGGCTCCCAATAGTGAAAAAGCACGAAAGCCTCTTCTCCCATTCTGCATGTACAGATGGTCGGTGATAGCACATCACTTGCCAAAGAAGAGGCTCATCAGAATAGGTATCAACCCTACCACCCTTAAGCCCATAAACGACACCGTCAACGACGCAGTTGAAGCCCGGCAAGTAAACGAATATTTGGAGCTGCAACTCCAGAACCAGCTCGACTCCCCCTACTCCTCTTCCCAGCCTTCATTGACTCGGCTCGTCGTCAACAATGTCACACCTCGGCCATCACTACCTGCCTGCCTCGACGTGCTCAAAGTATGGCAAAATTCTTGGTCTTCCATGTTGAAGCCCTCAATAGAGAACACCCACAGAATGCATAGCATGAATGCCATTGTGCTCGCCACTGACAACCTTGAGTCGCCACCATCCACGTTGAGCTTCCCGTACGACGTCCCTACCAACTCCAAATGTCATGCCTTTAGGCAAATCAATCAAAGTTTACTTCCAGCTTCATCCTCTACCAGCCCCACCGTTGACGTCGCAAATGAGAGTGAAAACAAAGTGCAAAGCTTGGGAAAGGGGGACACAATATCATGTTGGCCGTAGAAGCTTTCAGACCAACAGGTTATAACTGTAAAATTCTATGGAAGATCTCCGTGATGATGGTAAGATGATTGGGAAGCCATTCTGGACTTGGTCATCAATTGTTCGCCACCTGTTTTCCCAGTATTGTGAGACAAGTTAACGTAGTTTTAAATATTTGTGAGGAGTTTATCTGATCAGTGTTGTATAGGGGTGAGTATTCGGTTTTTCGGTTCGGTTATCGGTAATAACCGAACTAACCGAATAACCGAATATAGTAAAATTTAAAAACCGAACCGAAACTGAATAACCGAACTAACCGAAACCGAATTAACCGAAAATTTCGGTTCGGTTAACCGATTAACAATATATAAATATGAAAAATGATTTTAAATTAAAAATAATAATAAAACACAATTACAACCATATTTATTGAATATAAATATATTTAAAAAGTTCATATATACCCACATATATATATTTATTATGATAATATTTATTAAATATAACTATATGATATATTTATTTCGGTTATTCGGTTATAACCGAAATTTTTTTCTACTAACCGAACCGAACACCGAAACCGAATTGTTTAAAAAATAAAAACCGAATATATAACCGAAAACTGAAATAACCGAACCGAAAAACCGAAATTGAATTCGGTTCGGTTCGGTTTTCGGTTACGATTCGGTTTTGCTCACTCCTAGTGTTGTACGTGCCATAACCATGCATTTATGCCATAGTTTTCATTTAAGGATCTGATTATAATAATATTTGTTCATTAGCAAAATAAAATCACTTTCCTAAAACGTATATTTAATTATTTTATAAATATATATACACAATAATTATTTATTATTTACATTATTTATGTCTCATTTATTATGTTGGAAAAATATATATTATTAACATATATAATACTTCAAATAAAACATATATTATGAAATAAATATCATTTAAACTTATGTCCTTTTTAGTAATTTTTTCATATATAAAAAAGCACTTCTGACAACAACTATCCAAACAGAATCACTTTTTTCAGAAAATTTATTCTTTCAAAATTTATTCTCAAAAATCATTTTTCTCCCAGAAGCTATTTTCCAAATCATAGTTTGGTTTTTTTCAAATACCCCTTTAATCTTGAACTTGCTCTTGATAAATATAGTTTTTTGTTCAGTTCTTATAACCCTTGTTCGCAACATTGACGGGGTACTAAAATATGGGTTTTTACACTTTAATAAACCTTTTCTGCTTAGTTCTTATTTAGGTAAAAATATATGATTTTTTGTCCGTTCTTATACAAAATCGTTTTTGGCCCATTTAAACACTCAGCCTAGCCTTGCTTGCCCATTAACCAATTTTGGCCCATTTAAAATTGGGCAAGTTGGCTGTTGGACACATACTCGCAGCCTAACATTTTGGCCTATTTAAAAATGAGTTGGGCAAAGCCATAACAAACCAACAGCTATTTAAAAATGAGTTGAACTTAGGAACGCAGACACCAGCTTGATGGGCAGGCCTAATTAAAAAAGGCTTGCTGATCCAATGACAAAAGAAGTTGGTAGGAAAAGTATTGCATAACTAGAGAGTGCCTGGAAGGGGAGAAAGACAAGGGAAGAATAAGAAATGATGGGAACACGCATAATCCAGTGATTAAAAAGAAAGAAAGAATGAAAAAGGCCATAAAAAGAAATTGCACATATCGAATGGATCAGAAAAGACAGGACTCTTCCTCCACAAACCATTCGAGCAAAATATGATTAATCATTTAATCTGCACAGTCTAGACAAAGAGCAAGATGTAAAAATGTAAAATTTTATTTAAAATATGGAAAGATTATAAAAGACCCTAAATTGTGGTTTTATGAACAAATCCAACAATGTATCTATAGTGTCAAGAAAAATCAAACAAAATCCAGATAGGGACAACTTGAAACAAAATTAAAGGTTGACAAATCCTTGTTTAATAATTAGTGGAAAGCCTTCTTTAGTAGGAGACAAATCCAACAATATATAGATAGAAAAGACAGGACTCTCCCTCCGCTGACATTACCCTCGGCTGCCCCTCTGCCACTGATAAACAGCAATACGTTTGGAATATTTTGTGGAAACGCCGAAGGAATGATGTGTTGCGGCTCTAAGACGCAAGTTCTGAATCAAGTAGTGAACCCTATTTAGTAAAAAGCTTTTAAAAATATATCACCTCTAATTATTAATATAAGAGCTAGTTGAAAATTTAATTTGGTCCTAAACATAATATCTCAATTTACTTTGTCTTCAATATTTATTCATTTTGCCTTCAAATAATCCTTATATGAAATTACTATCAAGAGGTAATTCAGATATACATAATTAATAATGTATGTTAAAACAGACAATATCTATTTATTAATTAACTTAGTAACTAATTCACAAATTAGTTATTTAGTTTTTATATTAAGGATTTGGGTAGTTACTGAAATTCTCAATGAAAATATGAAATTAATAAATATAATTATCTTTTAATAAATCATAATATCTCATATTTTATTGACCTAACTTATTAATATCTTTCAACTTCCATTTTTTTTTTGGACTTTTATGTTAACGTAATTTCTATAGTTTTGATAAATCTGATTTCATATGTGTAACAATTAATTTTGACTAATTTAGTTAAATATTATTTTATTATCATAGGAATTACTTAGGAATTGAAGATATATACTTTTTTAAAAAATGGAGAAAATGTAGATCAAATTTCTTATATCTATGTGTCAAATTTTACAATCATATATGATTATATGTTTTTTTTTGTTTTATGTCTTTATAATTATAATTAAATATTTTTAAATACTAATGAATATAAAAAATTTGATCTAACTATTGTTAAAAAAATTATTTAATGGGATTCATTACTTAGTTTATTATGGCTTTTTTAGCAGAGAATTAGGTTAAACAGGAATATTTGTTTATTTACAAATAAGTTTTTTAAGATGAAAATATCCCCAATATACATCTAACAATCACCGCATCAAAGACGAGATTGGCTTCCCCCTTTTCTTTAATTCAGGGCTTAGGATTTTAGAGCCATTGCACATTGCTTCCTCTACTGTTTATGGTAGTAGAGGAGAGAAGCTGAGCCTGCAGAAAAAAGAGATGACACAGAAGAAATAACAAGAGAATGGAAACAAAACAAAGAGCTGCAGTAAAAAGGAGATGGCATGGAATGGAAACAAAACAAAGAGCTGCAGTAAAAAGGAGATGGCATGGAAGAAATAACAAGAGAATGGAAACAAAGTAGAGAGTTGCAGAAAAAGAAGATGGCATAGAAGTATAAAGAAGCCAAGGCTACAATTTTTTCTTCGTAGAATTCCATATTCCATAGTCCCCTAAAAGTCGTCTGCTCCAAACCTTCAAACTCAATAGGCCCTTCAAACTCATTCACCCTCAATCCTGCTTTCTTCCCTCAACATTTTACCCTTAAACCTGCCAGACCCACCTCGGCAGTAGCAGTTGACACCACCGTCTCTCTCCGGTGACTGAATTTGTGCTCACTCGGTCCTCCCTCCCTCCCTCTACACTTCGTTCTTCTTGTCAACTCTTGAGTTTGTCTCTATTCTTTTGTTATTCTTAATTTCGTAGCTTTTTTTTTTTGCTATGTGCATAGATTCTTGGATATTTGTCTAGCAAAGTTTACCCGTAACCTACATGATAATAAATGTGGCCAACTGATGTCTATCTAACCTTCATGACATTGTTAATTTAAAGATTTTTGCACTTGTTGTTTTCCCCTCAAACTTCCCCATCACTAAGTGATAAGCAATAAATCTTCCTGTGGATAATCCAAATTTAAAAAAATTATTTTAACTGGTACAAAGTATATACTGAATAAAAATAAATTCTTAATTGGTTGGTTTGCAAGTCGAAATATTTTCTTGACATACTTCTATTTTCTAGATCTGGGTGACATTTAGTTTCGAATTTATATTAGGGTTTAGGACTAAACTATTCTTGTATTACCTTTCCCTCTCTATAGTAATCTCTAGTTGGATATTTTCTCTTTTTCTTATTTCAAAAACTCCTAAATAATTCTGCACGTTTTTAGTTCCTTAACAATTTATTAGATCAATATATTGTTATTAGATCAATATATTAAGATCAATATATTGTCATTTGTTATCGTTTAATTTGTATATAATTTCACTTTAAATTAATTTGAGATTTTTTTTTATTCAAGTTATGAGACTAACTTTATTTTTCAAAAGGGCCAGCTAAACGTGCTATTAAACCTTGAATATAAAATAGAATATCATTCAGTGTTTGATAATCTGGAATATGTCCAAAGGACAGTCATGATTTTTTTTGGATAGGATTTTATTCAATATGGCTGATGAAGAGAATTATTAGATAGAATTTGAAGAATTCAAATTACGTATTTATCATACCACAGTTTTTAATGTTACCAATGTGGAAGAGGGAAATTTGATAATCTTCTAGTTTTTGTTAAATTAAATAAGACAAAATGTGGAAGAGGAAGTTATGTCAACATACCCAATATCATTTATTTTTATACTGTGTGTATGATATTAATATAGAAAACAATATTTGGTTCTTGAGTATTACGATTATACTTTAGACTACTTTGTCAAAGAAAGCAATATGGAAGAGTTTTACTATGATGACAATCCCACAAGGTTACTATTAGATTTAATAAGATGTGTATGAACTTTATTATTTAAAAATTTTATGATGGCATACATGTATATGTGTACATATATTATTTACTCTGAATTTTTTTTCCCTATGCAGGGATATGATTCAAGGTTTATATGATATGCACAAGTTAAGAATAATTCCTAGTAACCTTAGGATTAAATATCATTGTGGTATCAATGTAATTTTCTGCAAAAATATACAACTTAGAGAAGTCAAAACAACTTAGAGGAAAAAGTACTCATCTTCATCCAAATAACTGTATTCGTAAGTAGTTTAATAAAATTTTTGTTTTTTTTTAAACATTTGTTTATACTTTGTAATATGAAGTTT